TTAACGCTAGTTACTGGGCTCTCAGAGTTCCTATTCTCAGTTCACACAAAGAAAAAGCTCAAGAATAACTTGGGAAATGAAGCGCTAGCTCAACCGTGAAGAGCAGACGCTGATCTCGCAGGAGACCTGATTGTGCCTGGCTGCTCAAGGTGCAACTCAAGGTCCAAGGGATCCGCTGCCCTCTTCTGGCCAATGTGGGTATCTGCACTCACATACCTATATGTATACCTACACAATTTAAAATAAAACAACTCACAGGAAGGCAGAACAAAAGAAAAGACAGACAGACAGACAGACAGAAATTTGAAGACCTGAATTTGCTGGCTGTAATTCCAGCACTCAGGAGAGGCAGGAGAATAAATTTCAAGGCCAGCCAGGGCTACAAAGCAAGACTCTGTCTCAAATCAAACACTTGTGCCAGGTGATGGTGGCACAAGCCTTTCATCCCAGCACTCGCGAGGCAAGCACAGGTGGATCTTTGAATTCGAGGCCAACCTGGTCTACAGAGCACGTTCCAAGACATCCAGGGTTACACAGGAGGAAGTATGTCTCACGGGGAAAAGAAAGAAAGCAAGCAACACTTGCAGACGGAACTGGGAGTGTGGTGAGGGAGAGATAGATGAAAACAGCTTCAGGGAAGTGAAAATTGGTTCCTTCCTGTTTCAGGGCCAAATGGGCAAAGGATACAGCCAGTTCCTGGCTTGGCATACGTGATTTGGTCAGATTGAAATGGCAGAGCAGCCAGGACCTGCAGAGCAGGCACGTTTCCATTCTGATCAGGTTGCATAGGATAGAAAATTTATGAGCGGATAAGGAAGTTATGAAATCTCTCCAGCCTCAGAGTTCACTCTGTCTGCCTGGTGTTAGCAGAGCTACGCTGACTAGGCTAGCCATCTTTTCCAGGACTATGACAAATACCCAAGACAATCAACTTATAAAAAGGAAATTTTTGTTTAGGCTTATGGTTTGGGGGCTTCTGATCAATAATCAGTTGACCTTATTGCTTTGAACCTGTGATAAGCAACACATGGCGGGGGTACCTGTCAGGGTAAAACTACCAGCTTCATGACTAAAAAGAGAAAGGGTTGGGATTGTGCCTCCTACAGTTTACACACACACACGCACAGAGAGAGAGAGAGAGAGAGAGAGAGAGAGAGAGAGAGAGAGAAGGGCATATTCCTGTTGATCTGAGGCCTACCACTAGAGCAAACTTCTTTTTTAATATAATATTTGTTATAGTTCTCTCTAAGAAGTTCATACCTACATGCAATGCATTTTGTATTTACCCGCCACTCCTCCCACTAACTCCTCCCAGAACTCCCTCCCAATTTTCACGTTCTTTTGTTTTTATAACCCACTGAGTCCAATTTGTGCTGCCGATATATGCAGGAGTGTGAGGCCACTCACTGGAGCACAGGCACAAACTTAAAGGAAACAGGTTGTAAGCTCTCTCTGCAGCCATGAGCTGTGGTCCCACCACGTCCAGGGGACATTGTTTCTCTCAGGTCCTCCCTGTCCTCTGACTCTTATACCCCTGCCACCTCCCCTTCTATGATGTTCCCTGAGCCTTGGAGGTCTGATATGTATTTATGGGAGCACACTTCATAGACTTTCCCCCAACTCTCAATAGCACCAGACTCACAAGCCTTTAACTCATGAGCTTTTGGGGGACAGCAAAATCCAAACCATACATCCGCTTTCTCTTGATTGTTGTTTATACAGTACATCTTTTTTTTTTTTTTAAGAAAGAAAATCCCTTTACCATCCATCTTGGGCTGTTTCTCGTACTAGTTATTCTCCAGTTTTCACTGTCTTGGTGGTTATTCATTCTTAAGAGCCTACAGTTGCCCCCTTCACCTATGGAGCATGACCACTTCACTAGGGGTCCTTGTCTCCCATAGATAACAACTGTCAATCACCTCATTCAGAAGAGCAATTTTTCTCATGTTCCCTGTGCACACTCTCCAATGCACTTCCTGTTGCATCTGGACGAGTTAGAATGCCCCCGTGCAGTTAACGCACTACGGAGACAGAAGTTACGCTCTGTGCTCTGCCGTTAGTTAGGCAGTAGTGACGAGGAAAAGGGTTTGCATGTTCAATACAGAAGAAAAAGATTCTGGATACATTCAGTCACAGGTAGCTGAGCCCACAGATAGAAAGGGCCAACTGTATTTTTCTGTGTCTTGCCTACTTAGCACTTGAGCATCAGGCTGCCTCTTTGGTTTTGGTCCCCTCCCCACCCCCACAGCTTCTCACTCAGTGCTGCTGCTTCATGATGTGGCGATGTGAGGTTGTCTCTCATCTCTGAACAGCATGGATATTAGAGCCTCGGTTATGAAAAAGGAAACGCTGGCCGCCAAGAGACAGGGATGGGTCAAGACGCCCCCACTCCCTTCCCTGTGCATTAGCGGCCCCCACTCCCAGCCCCTGTCACCTCACAATCTCGTTCAGCTCTCTATTCACAGCTGCCCCGAGAAGGAGAATGTTATGTCCCTTTTCATCATTTCACCGAGGACAAGAATGAAAGGCCCATGATGGCCCAGAATTACCGTTCTTTTTAGATTATTTGAAACACTAATGAGCCATCTTTCCCCCAATTTTCCAAAGAAATATAAGTGTCGAGTGTAATTTCCAAACAAGACATTTTGACAACTTGAACACGGCGTAACTATGGAGAAAGAACGTCTCAAGGAGAAGACATGGACACACTGGCGCGGTTCGTCCGTTCCTGCAGATGACCTTGCTTTCATGGGAAGGGGCAGCCTGGGGGAAGGTGTCACAGGGAGTGCCAGGAGGTCTTCTTCCTGACAGCTGCCCGCACACTGTAATAAAACCCCGCACATAACGTGTGTCAGGCAGAGGATGAAGTAAGAGATGCTCACTTCTCCTCCTGGGTTTCTAGTTTTCCCATTAGAATTATCTCTTGATTGTGTGACAGACCAAATGACCTCTAGAGGTCACTAACAGCTGAGGTAGCTAAGGTTGCGTCCCCATCCCCTCCCTAGCTCCTCACTCAACACGGAACTGTCAATACCTGCTGAGCTTAACAGCCCATCCCTGTGAGGTAAAGAGCTCCTAGCCCATGTAGCTTGTCCTCTGGAGAGCAAGTGGCGATCATCCATGACAGGAAGGTGGCCCCTTCCTTTAACCTGTCACTTCCTTCACTGAAAGATCGTGACTCTTCCGAGTTTCTTCAGGTCACTTAGCACAAAAGCCATGAGCTACTTGCTGGTCTTCCAGAGATGGTAGCTCAAATTCCCCACTCAGTTACCTCTGCCCTTTGCAATATAATAACAAAGTCGCCTGATGATCCAGGGCGGAATTCCTATGCACGCTAGATAGAAGGCAATTTATACTATTATCCTACTTGCTCTGATCCCAAAGTCTAGACCCTGAGGGACTGGATGAAATTAGGGATCTACTGTAGGAATCAGCATTTTTTTTTTACCTGTTTCAGGGGAAACAAAGGATTTCTTTCACAATGTAACGGCTTACTGGCTTGTGCCTGGTCACCATAGAGGCCCATACCATTATGCAAAGAGATTAAATTGTGTTAATGTCGATACTCTATTCATCCTGTAGTCCCTGGATCAAGGAGTATTTCTGATGTTGGAGTCATCATTTAATAAAAACAATTTAGGGAGAAGGGCACCCTGGTGGCTGTGCATAGCCCCAGCTACTCAGGAGCCTGAGGTAAGGGCATCTCCTGAGCCTTGGAGTTGGAAACCAGCCTGGATAACACAACAAAACTGTCTCAAAATAAGAATCCATTTCATGAGGCTACAGCTGCTGTCAATGGTGGTTCTCTGGAGCTTTCTGGAAAGGACTCACCATTCTAGATCACCTCAAGAACACTAGCGATCTGAGGGAAAAGGTCAAGGTAGCATTAAGAGGAGCTATGAGACGTTAATTCCAAGCCTTGTTGATGATTGGGGTATTTGAGACTCCCTGGGGGACGTTCCTGAATACGTGGCAGAACAGTGAGAAGGCTTGATTAGGAGAGCCTGAAGACCCCATGGACTCGCTGCCCTTAGACGCTAAGCATTCACACCTGGTAAGAATTTGCTTTCTATGGATAAGCAAAGGAGACAACCTCTCAGCAAGCGTGTCCTCCTGACAAGGGGTCTGTGAACGCAGTGAAATGGCTGACAGAGACGGGCAGGACAGACTCCAGTTTGGAAAGAGTTTTCCAATGAGTAAGACGCTGCTGAGGAGCAATGCGTGTTGCAGAGAGCTCCGCCATGGAAAGCAGAAGCAAGCGCCGCACACACTCCTTTAGATGGTGGGTGCTGAAGAGATACCCCTGCGGCTAACAGTGCTTACTGCACAAGTATGAGGATGTGGGTTCAGGTTCTAGCATCCACATAAAAAGCTGGCTGTGGCCTCAAGCTCCAGGCTCAGTGAGAGACCTTGTTTCAAGGGAATAAGACAGAGAGCGATGCAGTAAGACACTGGCTGTCTTCTTCGGGCCCTCATGCACCTGTACGCACACAAGCACGCACTCTGTGTCTCTCTCACATACAAGCACATGCATAATCTCTGTGTGTCTCACCCCCCCACACACACACACACATTTCAAGCAGGGCATCGTGACTGCGTGTGGGAGGCAGAGACAGGAAGATCAGAAGTTTGAGGCCATCCTTCATTTCTTGACTACATCGTGATTTTTGAGGCCAGCATGGGATACATGAGACCCATCTCAAAGCAAAAATAAATAAAAATAAAACTGCCACAGCAACCTCAACCTTAAGGGGCCACCACCCAGATCTACGGCCATCAGTGTTACAGCAAAACTAGCCAGTACCGGAAAGGTAAACGTATATTTGCTAAGGACTCAGGTAGTTGTTAGCATCTTTGAGGAAGAAGTAATGATCTGTTTGGGTAGGTCCCATTGATTTGTTAAGAAATAACACTAGTGCACACTTAATAGAATTCAGTACGGTATAAACACACTTCTTACATGTGCTGGGAAAGGGAGACCTGCTGTGGGTTTTGGTTTATTGTTATAGTCACTGTCCTGAAGTGGGCTAGAATTGAAGGTCCAGCATCTGGGAGGAAAGCGTGCTCTGGTTGGTGCCTGGTGGCAGGAGGTCTCAGCAGCACCCTCCACGGTGCTCCCTGTTGCTCTCCAGCCCCTCCTGCCACTACAGCAAAAGGAACCAACAGGTTTCAAACTACGAATTTGAGGTAGAAAATGAGTTTAATAAGAGGTTTCCCTTTCATCCTAAGAACGTGACATTTTCTACCCCACTGGGGCCTTGTTCTTCTAACTCGACGTCCTTAGAGCTCTTGGCTTGTATCTTGAACCAAAACATTTCTGCACAACATAGTCCAATACGCTGGTTGGGAAGTAGGAGCTAAGGCAGATCCATTGATAAGTCAGTTTCCCTGGGGTATAAAACGAAGAGGGGTTCTTGGCCGAAATGGCATGCTGGATGTCCCAAAGCACAGGGGTGATGTCTGGGCTGGATCTGGTTTTCATGGTCTGGAGAAAACTCCTCTGTGTATGGATATAGTCCTGGCCGTAGTCATCCTGTGTCTCTTGTGAAATGTCATCCAGAATTTCCTTCTCCATTTTATCCCAAATGTCAGGTGAGCCTGCAACGTCTGGAACACAAGAAGCAAAGGAGGCTCAGATTCTGGGGAGACTCGGATCCAGAATCAACTGGGGAGGCCAGGATGAATTGTGGAGGCAATTCAAAGGATTATGGACTAGCTCTGCTGGGAAAGATATGTGCTTGTTAATGCTTGTGTTAAGTTGTTAAATGGTGAGTGTCCCACCTTTGCCTATGTCCATGATATAGTCCTTCATGGAAACAGTAAGGTCAGCTACCCCAGCATGTAGGAGAGAAAGTGGTGTTGTGCCTGCCAAAAGCAGCTCCCCAGAAATGTCAGCAGCAAGACTTCTCTGAATCCCTTAAGGTATAACCTAATACCAGCTTGCTCCCTTTTACAAAGGGAGCCTTAGGTGGATATGCTGGAATTTTCCTTTGGCCCCTGGGCCTAACCTAACCCTCGGTCCTACCGCCAGGTGTCAAAGTCCAGTTCAGGGACAGCAAGATGGCTCAGTAGGTAATGACACTTGGCACCAAGTCTGACAGCCTAAGTCAGATCTCCAGGAATCACATGGTGGGAGGAAAAAGGATCAATTCCCAAACCTTGTCCTCTGATCTCCAAGCACATGCCATAGCATGTGGGTGCCTATGCATACAAACATACATGCGCAAATTATAAATGTAAAAAATATAAGCGCAATGTAGCATTTCCTTGGTCCACCAGCTCCCGTTGGCATTCCCCTCTCTAGAACATTCTTCTCTTCCATTCTGGTCTAGCTTTGCTCCACTCTTCTTCTCTATCAACTTCCCCCAACCTACCTCCCTGCTGGGGATGTTGAACTAGTCACCCTTCCACAGACATCATCCTCTCTCCATTTCAAATATGGTTAATATTCCTTTTTATGTTCTTATTGGTTCCTAAGCTTCCTCCACATCACAGTGAGGTTCCCGTCTGTCAGGTGCTTCCAGCCCAAGGTTCAGGTTTTCTTCATAGATTTTTATCTTGTGCCCTTGGCCTGACACGGACGCCTTTAGGGTTTATTCTTCAGTAGTTAGCAACACCTTCGGTGTGTGATCTTGATTTGGCCGTCTTCTCTCACCTTCACTGACATGACCAATTAAATGTTTTATGCTCCAGGAAATAAAAAAAAAACAGGGATGGACCTTCTGTCCTGGCCCAGAGTTCAGAAATTAAAAAGGGGAGGGGCAAGGGCAGCATCTCCCAGGATGGAAGAGGGTAGTTCTGATCTCTGAAGGAGTGAGAAAGGAAATACTGTTTTCAAAACACAGAGAAGGAAGCCATCTTGGAGGGAGAACATGGGTTCTGATGTCACCCAGTGCATCTGCTCAGTTTGTTTAGCAGCAATCTCCAAGTTTAAATGAACGAGCCCAGCAAGAAGCTGATGGACACCACATTGGAAGTGGGGTGAAGGTGGTTCAGGAAAATCAGGGAGAGTCCATTCGGGTCATTTCTGAGCTGCTGTGCACTCACAGAGAAAATAAATCTTGGGCAGGGAAGAAGGGGACTCGGGGAAATTCAAGAGTGGGCGTTCAAGGAGCTAGGTTTGTACTCAATATGGCTTCTAGTTTATTTACAGCTTCTGAGCCCTCTCGTTCACTTCCAGGAAAGGAGCCCAGAAAAGAATCATCCAGAGAAGGCTCCTGCTTCTTAAAGGTTAGATGAAGCTCACCTTCCCACTGAGCGTGGGGTAACTCTCTCCAAACTCCTGCAGTAAGAGACTGACCGTACTCTAGCCCAGCATTAGCTGTATCCGGCCCTATTTTAGAAAGATGTAAGCCCTCCCAAATACCTTCTTGAGAAGGCTCTCTGCCAGAGAACTCACTACTTTCCTAGCGAACACACCCCTGATGGCGGCCCTCGGCCGTTCTTAATTGGAGCATTTACTCCAAAGGTTGCTCAGTTGTATGTATACGTACGCCCTGCAACTCAAGGCCCCGAGAGCTTGCTCCTTCGAGGAAGGCTCTGGAAGCATCAGGCCTGTCTCCCAGCTTCTGTGGAGGGGTGGAGTCCTAACATGACATCATCCCCCTCCACACCGACCAAGCCTTTGTGCTTTTGTAATGGCCTGACTTGACTGAGCCTTGCTCTCCCCACTCCCTCAGCTCCATTTAAATAGCCAAGTCATGGCCTGAGAGATGACTCAGCAGTTAAGATTGTTTCCTGCTCTTGCCAAGGGTCAGAGGTCAGCTCCCAGCATTTACATGGGATGGTTCACAATGGCCTATAACTTTAGTTCCAGGGGATCCCACATCTTCTTCAGGCCTCCCCAGGGACCTGCACACATGTGTGTGTCCACACAAACAGACAGACATGCACACATATAAATAAAAATAAAATATTTAAAACACCCAAATGACATATACACAATCAGTTTAGAACTTAGTTCCTATTGAGTGAAATAAGTTGTCATGCCTAATGCCTGGCTGTGTTCATCTCTGACAACCCTGGAGGGGCCGATGCATGTCATAATTGACCAAGAGGAATGTCAGGGTCCCCCTTACGGTGAACATCACAGAGCTCTCAGTCTCAGGTACCTACTTGTTTGGAAACCTCCAGGTTGGATGATAGCAACTTTGACTCCCCACTTGGAAAGCTCCAGCCTGGCGATTGATGAAAACATGGTCAAAGCTGCCTTCGTGGAACAGTAAGCGGCCAACCATTTTATCGGAACCTCAGCTGTGGGAAGAATGGGAGCAAATAAAAAAAAAAATTAGGTTTGATATTTTCAGTCATTTATCCAACAAATATTTAAAGTACCTAACTGTATACTAGGAACTGATATGAACAGTGACCAAGTCAGGCAAAGGTAAACAAGGTTCTCCTGAATCCAGGAGAGCTCATATCCTTGGTCACTCCCATTGCATGGGTGTATTTGTTTCTAAATGGACCGTGGTAGATGTGGGATCCACAGCATCTGCTACCTAGCTCATGGCCTCCAGTTTTACCAGTACCATTCTGGGGGAGTTGGATGGGATCCACCCTTCAGCCCACCTTGGCAATATCCAGTAAATTAGACTTAATACTAGTTGCAATGAGCAGCCAAACATGCCATGGTGAACGATGGGACACTTCTGTAAAGAGCATGAGAAGTATCTTAGTCTGTGGTGGAACACATGTTCACTGCCCTGCCTAGATCCCAGTTAGCTTAGTACCTGAGCCTGAAGCTGGGTTAGGTCACAGATGAGGAGGGGACTTGAGAAGGGACACTAAGAGGAAACAAGAAAGTGGGAGTTCTCTATTGGGAATAATGGGCTCTGCAGGTGTGGTTAAGGTGTGATGACTACGTAAGCATGTCCTGGACTAGCAGGATGTGCCTTCAGTAGCTGGAGAGATGGCTTAGTTGGCAAAGTGTTCACCGTGCAAACATAGGGACCTGAATTCAGATCCCCAGCACACACGTAAAGTCCAAGTGGGATGGTGCATGTCTGTCACCACAGCACTGGAGAAGCAAAGACAGGCAGGTCCCTAGAGGTCACTGTCTAGCCAGCCTAGGGGAGCTGGTGAGATCTGGGTTCATAAAGGACCCGGTCTCAAAAGTATAGAAATAAGGTAAAGAGTGATCAGAGACGAGTCCTGACATCTATCTCTAGCCTGCTCATGCACATGCATGCAGACACACATACTCATATGAACATGTACACACCACATATGCATGTATACACACAAATAATAATAACAACAAAAAAGGTATAAATGAAATGGAATAGGCCCTAAGTCCACTCATGGGTGTTTTTATAAGAAATCAAAGGACTGGACACTAGAGGCACTGAAGGGAAAGCCATGTGAAGACAGAGCACAGGGATCTGCTGGGCTCAGCCTAGGAGAAGCCCAGGACATTTACAGCCACCAGAAAATGGAAGAGGTGAGGCTAAACTCTCTTCAGAAGAAACTCCAGAAGATGCTGTCCTGCTAAGTCTTTGATTCTGACTTGTGGCCTCCAGAGCTATGAAAGAATAAACTTCTCTAGTTTTAAGCCACTTCTTTGTTCCAGGAAACTGATCCAGTCACAATCTAGGTGGGAAAACAATGGCATTGTAAAGGAATGAAAACATCCAAGTCTCATAGCACTAAGGAAATATGACAGAATCCCTGAGAAAATGGGACCCAAAACATGGCCTCTGGCATTGTGAAGGGTTTCCCTAGCCAAAGAAGATCCGCTTGGTGAATGGCTAAAATGATCCATCCTTCCAGAATAATACAACTCAGCCACTAAGAGCCATGAACTTAGTATATATGGTGGCTACAGTGAGGTCTTGTGTAATTCCAGTGAGTGAAAGCCAAACAAAATTGAGTGTGTACTCTTTGTTATGACTGTAGTTATGTAAAATTCTAAAACACTCAAACTAATCTATAGTGAGCAAAACATGTCCATGGACACAAGATGGAAGAGCTACTGACTGAGTTGTGGTCCCTAAAATTTAGATATTGAACCTTGGCCTGGAGAGACAGCTCAGCAGTGACGAACACATAGTGCTCTCAGAGGGAGTCTGAGTTCATTTCCCAGTGCCTCTGCCACCTGTAACTACAGCTCCTTTTCTGGCCTCTGTGGGTGTGATCCTCACATGCTCACATGCTTACACATTGGCACAAGCATGCTTACAATTAAAAACAAAAGAAAAATCATTAACTTAAAGTCTAGACTGTAGGAGTGTCTTCTATCTGTTGCTTTCATTGGTTAATTAATAAAGAAAACTGCTTGGCCGGATAGGTCAGAACATAGGTAGGCGGGGAAGACAAAATAGAATGCTGGGAAAAAAAAGGCAGTGAGGCAGTCGCCATGCTTCTCCTACCCAAGACGGACGGTGGTTAGAATCTTCCCAGTAAGCCATCACCTCGTGGTGCTACACAGATTATTAGAAATGGGTTAACCAAGATGTGAGAGTTAGCCAGTAAGAGGCTAGAGCTAATGGGCCAGACAGTGTTTAAATGAATACAATTTCTGTGTAATTATTCTGGGGCTAAGCTAGCCGTGTGGGCGGGATGAAAAGCAGGCCTGCCCGCAGCTCCTTCAACACTAGACCCTAATAGGATTGTGTTGGGAGACAGGGATTTTGGAGCATGATTAAGTCATAAGGATGGTGTAATCGGTGGCCCTTTAAAAGGAGACACTAATAGCTTCTTCATTTATATTCTCTGTCTCTGTTTCTGTCTGTCTCGTGTGTGTGTGTGTGTGTGTGTGTGTGTGTCCATAATACAAGAACACAGTGAGAAGGTAGTGTCTGCAACTTGGAAGACAGTTCTCACCAGCCCCTGACCCTACCAGCATCTTGACTTCCAGACGTCAACCCCCAGAACTGAAAGAAAGAAATTTTTGCTGTTTGAGCCACCGAGTCTGTAGATGAATTCGAGAGATGAGAAGGAGCAAGAGAAAGAGAATCTTCTAAGCAGGTTAGTGGTAGTGCCAGTGCCCTGGGGATGTAAGCATGTCTAAAATTACCTGATTGAGCACTTTGAATGTAAGCTGTCTAGTGTACATCCATCTCAACTCTTAAAAACAGTTCTTGAGAAAGGAAACCACAGTACTATGACAGACAGCCTGTGGATGTTTCAGCAAAATCCAGGAAAGGCTTAATGCCTATTTTCTTCTTCCCCAAGCTTCAGGGCATGTCCATAACTTTCCACGAGGAACTCCTGTGTCCCCTGGCTTAGCTTCCTGTGTCCCATGGTTTACCTCTTGTGACCCCTGGTTTATCTTTCTGTGTACCCTGATTCTAACGATTTTCCATGCTTCTGCAATCCTCACCAAGCAAACATGACTTTTGCAAGCATTGTTGGTAATTTGTAACTGACTCCTTTTTCTGTCCAAAGTCTCTCTTCTCCTTCTAGACAGACATGCTTCACCGTGGGGGGACAGCATTTTAGCTCTGAGCCTTTTTTGAGAATCCTATCTTTCCTCATACTTGAAGTTTTTAGTAAGAGCACTTGAGACCACAATGCATGCCTGAACCTAAGTATATCACAAGACCACTCATTTTTTAGGTATATACAATGTTTACTACCATTTCTATGAAGCATTACAAGAGAAAATTCAGTTAGTTGGCTTTTTAAAAATGCCTTGATTTTTTTTATCGTTTTGTGTTTCCTTCTTTAATTTTTTTTAATTTAAATTTTTTTGCATTTTACATTCTAACCCCAGTTCCCCCTCCGTCCCCTTCTCCCACCCCTTCTCCCACTCCCATCCACTTCTCAGAGGAGATAAGGCTTCCCTTGGGGAGTGGGATACCAAGTTGAGGCAGGACCAAGCCCCTTCTCCACTGAATCAGGCTGGGCAAGGTAACCCATCATAGGGAATGGGGAAAAAAAGGCCAGATCATGCACTGATACACCAGGACTAGTCCTGGTCCCACTCAGCCACCACCCACCCCTGGCAAACAGATCAAGCCACATAACTGTCACCCATGTTCAAAGGGTCTAGTTCAGTCCCGTGCAGGCTCTCCAGGTATCAGTCTGGAGTCAATGAGCTCCTTCTAACTAGGGTTAACTATCCCTGTGGTTTTCCCCCATCATGATCTCGACGTCCCCTTGTTCATCTGATCTCTCCTCCCTCTCTTCAACTCCTTCCCTCTCTTCAACTGAGCTCCAGGAGCTCAGCCCAGTGCTTGGCTGTGGGTCTCCATATCTTCTTCCATCAGTTAAAGGATGTAGATTCTATGATGGCAGTTAGGGTGGTCACTAATCTGATTACAGGGGAAGGCCAGTGCAGACATCCTCTCCACTATTGCTAGGGCCTTAGCTAGGGTCATCCTTGTGAATGCCTATGTTCATAGCAGCGTTATTTGTAATAGCCAGAACCTGGAAACAACCTAGATGCCACTCAACCAAAGAATGGATAAAGAAAATGTACATTTACACAATGGAATACTACTCAATGGTAAAACAAACAAACAAACAACAACAACTACAAACAGTGGTATCTTGAAACTTCCATGCAAATGGATGGTACTAGGAAAAACAATCCCGAGTGAGGTAACCCAGACCCAGAATAGGCGGAGTCAGAGAGAGACACCAAGTAGCTGCCAAAGGAGAAAGATACCGAACGCCCTCCCAGAAAGACAAACACAGTATGTACTCACTCAAAAGTGGATATTAGACATAAAGCTAAGGATAACCAGGCTACAATCCGCAGCCCCAGAAAAGCTAGGTAAAAAGGAGGACCCTAAGAGGGACATTCATGGAGGACCCCACGAAGGGGAAATAGTTGAGATCTCCTGGGTAAACTGGGAAGGAGTAGAAGGGAGTGAGTGGAGGATGGGAACATGAGTGGTTCAGATGGCCAAGTTGGGGGAGGGACAGAGAAAAGGAGCAATAAAAGAGATATCATGATAGAGGGAGCCATTATAGGGTTAGGGAGAAGCCTGGTGCTAAGACCACTCTTTAAGGCAGTCATAAGTCACTACCTCATCACTACCTTGTGGTCACTTGTTGCTAGTGGGCTTCTTGGACCTCCACATGAACTGACTTCACCTATGTAAGGAGGCATTGTGGATTATAAGTAAGGACTAAGGCACATTGCTTGGGACTGGCTTTTTGGTTTTCAGTCTTAAGTAGAGTTAGGGTTTGAACACAGGAAGTATTCATTCCAGATTGCATATTGTAGCTTCTATCTGCTAACATGCCTCCTGGCTGGCCAACCTCCATCACCTGGAAGATTCTCTTGCCTGCTATCCTGGGTAAGTAGGTAATGTGACCTGAGGTCCTACTGGTCAGTTCTGGTGTCCTTTGAGAATACATAAAGCCTCGGACACACCGCTGCCATCAATCCCTATATAAAGAGACTGCTTGTCAAAGATTTCCTTTTACTATTTTTAATTACGTATGTGAGTCTGTGTGCAAGCATGTTCACATACATGAGTAGGTACGCCATGGAGGCCAGAGGATCACTGCCGCTGGGGTTACAGGCGGTTGTGGGCTGCCTGATGTGGGTACTGGGAACCTAACTTGGGTCCTCAGCATGAGCAAAAGGAGCTTTTTACTACTGAGCCATCTCCCCAGACCCAGGAGCCTTCTTTTTATGGCTTGAAGCTAAGGTGTGATTACGTGGAAATTGAAGAAATGAAACTTTTCAAATAAATTCCCTGGTAAGACAGCAGGGGGCAGAATACAGCAGCCTTTCTTTCCTAGAGGCTCCAAGGGAAAGGTTCCAAGGTCACAAAAGCTGGTACCTCTCCTAGCCAGGGTTACCCAGACCTAATTTCAGGAGGACACCACAAGACCTCTCCCCCCAGCTTCTGATGCTTCCGAGAGGGACTGAAGCTGACGCTGATAACAAGGTCCTCTCCTCTGGCCTGCTTTCTCAAGCTGAACTCCAAACTCCACCCATGACCTCAGGAGAGACAGGCTTGCTCATTCCTCCGAGGAAGCTCATAAAAACTTCAAACAGCATTTGATGGTCTCCTTGTCATTTGGAGGTCTCTGGGACTGTGACAAGTCTCTAGGTACCCTACCAGAATCAAGACCCGGAACCTTGTTCCGAAAAGAATGAGTAGCAGCGAGAAGCAGCATCGGGAACACGCAGAGCTGCAAATTCTCAGCTCCCGGTCTAGAATTAGTAAGTCAGAAATAGGAGAGTGAGACTCCCCAAAAAATCTGTTATTGGGGGAAAAAAAACATAAACTAACATTGCATCACACAAAATTGACTAGAGTGGTTATTTTAAGGTATATGATTCTGTAGCCTTATACTCTACTTCTTAGTTGAGTGACACCCCTGGAATCCCCAAAGCCCCGTCTAATTTTCTCCTACAGAGCACATTTGTCTTCGTTCTGAAGGGGAAGGGTCTGCATTCACACATACTGCTGTGCTTGCTTTGGGTGATGTTTCAACCAAGAGGCCTTCCCAATTCCTGGCTCAGAAGAAATGCAGGGTGCAAATTCTCCCCACCCCACAGAGAGAAGACAATACGAAGAAAAGCAGTTTTTCCCCTGAGCCAAGTGGCCACCACATGGACAAGCGGCAGAACCTGAGGCTTTGATTTGTCACCAAGAGGAGGTGGTGCTGCTAGCTTCTAGGGAGTCAAGGATGTGAGTGTTTCCAGTCTCTCCGCGATCTACAGGACAGCCTCCTGCTCCAAACGTCAAGGAGTCAGAGGTAGAGAATAACTTGCCCACACGTCCTAACATCCCTGAGACTGTCCAGGTTCTTCATCATCTCCGTGTGACAGCTGACACCAGAGGCAGACAAATGAGTGTCCTGCCCCATGTCACCAGCTGATAACAGAAGATCAAGATTCAGATTCTGCCTGACTTGAAACCCTTGCGGGCCCAGTCACGTTCGAGAAGAGCATGCTTCCAGCTGTTCTCACTCAGGGACACGGGGAGGACGCATACAAATATTTACTTTGATTTCTTAAGAAGGAAACTGTCCAGGAACAGCTTTTAGATCGCTCTTTCCCAACTCTTTAAATACTTGGTTAAATATTTATCCAGCTGCCTTGCTGGGGTTGGAGTTGGAGCGCTAAACTTGCGCTATGCTACTGCAGGGAAGCCTTCCCAGAATGGGTATGTGCTCGGTCCTCCCACTCCCTTTATTCTATAGGGAGAAAATTAGGCCTGGCTTCGGGGATTCCAGGAGTGTCACTCAACTAAGAAGTAGAGTGTACCCCCCCCCCCCAACTTTCTAACTTCCAGTTTTTGACAGAGAGGAAATGATTGATGATTTGCTAGAGAGCCATCCATGGATCAAGGTCCTAGGGCAGAAGGGGGCACCCAAGGAGAGGGAGGAGTTAGAGAAGGAAATGATGAAGAGGAGGGTGAGTGAAGAAAGGAAAGACGGGAAGCTAGAGAAGCTGACTGCTTCTTCCATCTGTAAGAGCTCCAGAGAGGAAATCAATACCGCCGATAATATGTACCGTTAGTTCTCCCTCTTCCGCCTCTGCTTACTCATGACTCGAGAAAGGAAGACCCTACCAAGGTTCTCAAATCACTGAACAGCTAAAAATCAGAGGATGTGAAAGGAACGTGCTGGACAGGAGAGCAGAGGAAGCAGAGAAGGGAAGAGTCACAACTGGGAAGGCAGAGAAGGCAGAAGGAAGTAGACCAAAGATGAAGGGACAGCAACTGAGGATGCTTGAAAAATAGTGGGGTATCGGAAGGGGATTTGCATTAAGGAGCGTTTGTATGAGAGTTACCTTCACCTCCATCTTTCCACTAAGATTTCAGTAAAACATGTTTTCAGGAGTTGACTTAGACTTTGTGGGGTGATTAAAGAGCTAGTCGTTCATTCAGCAATGGGAAAAGATTAGGTAGTGGGGTTGGGGAGATAACGTCACTTGCCCCCAAGCCTGGGGACCTTAGTTCAATCCCTGGGACCCACATGGTAGAAGGACAGAATTGATTTCCAAAGTTGTCCTTTGACTGAAAGTTTACCATTACACATGTTCTACACACAGACCACACACACACACACACACACACACACACACACAAAATAATGTAATTTAAAATAAAAATGAGGAGATTCAATAAGGTTTAAAGAATAAACTGATATTTTCATGCATACCCAGGTTACATAAAAGTGGGAGGACTGAACTTCAGATGTGGAGGGATGGAAAATATTTGGTATTGGCAGGGCATTAATATAAATCACAGGTAATAAAGATTTCCCCACAAAGAAAGGGCTAAATCAAGACTGCAAAACCCACATTTGTTACTGCAGAAAGAGCATCTTGTTAGCTATCTAGCTGAGAGGTAAAACTAACAGAAGATGCCATCCATGACACCTGCTCAGACAGCTTGAGGAACAGGGAGCTTTGACTAGCAACCTGTATTGGGTACTGAAGAGGGAAGTCGGCCCAGCATTTTGGTAGGAAATGTAGAAGTTCCTTTCTTGTAAAAAACTGTGACGGGCCTAGAGGCATTTGATCTGCTATCTACGTCAAACCAGGCGTATTAGCTTCCTGTCGCTGCTGTAACAAATTACCTCAATGTCTGTTCGTCAGACCAGCCGCTCCCCCGCAGCAGCTCTGGTGTTCCTGGAATTATTAGCCCTGCAGCCACAAACGATTTGAGAAGACTTTTCCATTCCAGCTCAACTCTTCCTGGCTTGTAGAGATTTCAGACTCCAGTCTGATAGGTCCAGATAGTCAGGATTCCTGTCCAGAGCAGACACTACTAACTAGTTCCCTGTTTCTACCTGCTTCTAAGCAAGAAAGCCGGTAGCAACGACACCTTCCAAAGCCACTTTTGTCTCAGTTTTGCCTAGAGCTGCATCGTCAAGAAATTAACCACACTAAATGGTGACTCCTGTGTGTGTGTAGATTATGAGTTACCTTTTTATATATCTTTTATTTATTTGCCCATGTGTTTGAGCCTGGGTGAATTTCTCTGCACCCTGTGTACACAGAAGCCTGCAAAAGTAGGAAGAGGGTGTCAGATCCCCTGGAGCTGGAGTCACAGAGGGCTGTGACTTACTGTGTGGGATCTGGAGAACAAAGTCTGGTCTTGTACAAGAGCAGAAAGTGCTCTAACCACTGAACCATCTCCCTAGCCCCGTGGGTTGTCCCTTTATACCTTCCATAGGTTCTTTAGCTTCCCTGTTTCTTGTGTAAACCTAATTGTTCTCTCTCTCTCTCTTTCTCTCTCTCTCTCTCTCTCTCTGTGTGTGTGTGTGTGTGTGTGTGTGTGTGTGTGTGTGCGTGTGTGTGTTCTGTATGTAGTATTATGTGGTAATTAAACACATGAGTGGAAATACGGCCACACTACACACAAGTGTGTGTGTGCATGTAGAAGCCAGAGGTCGACACTGGGGGGGTCTCCCTCAGTTTCTCTCCACCTTATTTTTTGAGACAAGGTCTTCTTGAATCTGGAGCTCGTCCGTTCATCTAGTCTGGCCAGCAGATGAGCTTCAGGTATCTGCCTACTCTGTCTGCCCAGTGGTAGGATTATGGGAAATTGCTGCCACAGTTGGCTTCTCACACTGGTTCCAGGGATCCAAACTGATCCCTAAACTTACACAGCACAGACTCTACAGACAAGGCTATTTCCCCTGCCCTAATCTAGCGCTTTTCTTTTTCCTCAAAGTAATTCTCATTACATCACAAAACTCTCCATGATGTTCTAAGACACTCATCTTTGGGCTTCTGCCGAATTCCATCAATGCATTTCAGATGGAATTTTGAGCCCTTTTCCAGAAAACTTCATGGGTTGAACCCCTCGCTCTCAGTGTCATGGGCATTTTCAGTGACCCCTAGGTTGAAATAGGCCCCTAACTCCTATGGCATCCTCATAGGAGGAGACCCTGGGACTGCAGGCACTCAGATAGGAACAAATAAAATGAGCACATGATGACAGAAGGTCCTTGAAGGCCCACAGGACAGACCCAATGAGAAAGCAACATTATGGACCTCTTTATCGCGACTTCCAGTCTCCAGAATGGTAAGAAAAAAACACCTGATGTCTAAGCTACCACCCTCGGTCTTCAGCCATACTTCTGTTCCGCAGCCTTAGCAAATTAATACAGAGGGAGAAGGGTAAAGCCACCGCACCTGGCTTTTTATATAGACTCTGGGGCTCTAACTCAGGACTTCATGACTATGAGACATTTTCCCAACTGAGCCCACCTCCTGAAGCCCTTATTTTGATTTTGAACCATCATGGTACCAAAGCTGACAACAGAGGTGAGTAAGTTCAATGAGAACTCACCATCCTCTGCCTCCCTGGTACTGGGGTTACAGGCAGGCACCGCAAGGCCCAACTGCATTGGTTCACCTATTCACTGATGCTATTTCCTGCCAGATACTAGGTGTGCAGCCCATACTCTGTGTTAGCGACCACTGAAGTCACCAATAAAGGGACGGCCCAAAGTAAGAACAAAGACAACAAAGAGAAAGGCAGCCTGGTCAAGGAGCCAGGAAAAGACAGCGATCAATCATTTCAGTAAACATTTATAGAACGGATGAGTCAAGGACCGTGAGAGGCCCTGCCAAAGGCACCAGAGGCTACCATGTCAGTGGGAGAGGGGAGGTTTCCAAAGAGTGTGAAGGTATAAAGGCCAAGTTCAGAACAAAGACAAAGGTAAAGCGGTGTGTGTTGGTTGGGGCCTAGGGAAATGGCTTAGCTGATAAAATGCTTACTGTGCAGGCATGAGGACCCAGGTTCAAACCCAGTCCCTTCCATTAAAAAAAAAAAAGAGGAGGGATGATGATAATGGCAAATCCCTCTGTGCTAGGAAGGTAGAGACAAAAAGATCCTTAAAGTTTGCTGACTGGCCAGTCCAGCTAAGTCAGTTAGCTCCAGGGTCAGTGAAAGATACTGTTATAAGCTAAGGTAGAAACCGCCTCCAGCCTCCGTCTACTGTGCACGGACATGTGCAAGTATACACACATAGGCATGAATGCACGAGCGCGCACACACACACGATACAAAGATATTACAAGTGGGATTCCTTTAGATTCATTAGTGTGTGAGAAGTAGCAAACATCTGGAAATAAATCCGGTTTTCTCACAGAAGGTAAACAATAATTGCTCCTAATCATGAATCGGGGTTTTTTTCTTCCCCCATAATCCTTTCAGCCTTCTCTTTTTCCCTTGCTTATACCTCGAGCCAATCAAAGACTCCAATCAAAGGCACACAGCAGTTAAGGAAGTGACTGAATTACAGCCAGGGAAGGAATGTGCTAAGCAGCAACAAGGGTCTAGGAAATAAAAATAAATAAATATCTTTCCCCCACCAAAAAGAAATTCTAGAACTGTTGTTCACATCGCAACACATGTGCGCACGCAAATACTGGAAACCTAGTTGGACCGTTCATTTTTACAAACTTTAACTAAAACCAACTAATCTAACAGGGAGATTAGAAGGCAGGAGCTAAGCATCCAGAGCCCAGACCTGTTTGACATCCCTCTCTTACCCATGCAAAAACCTGAGAAAGACTCCAGTCGGTCTCCCATAGCTGAGGAAGGCTTGGGGAACACAGGGGAACTTCTGTGTGCAAATGTCTATGGGAGAAGGCAAGGAGTGGTAACCCAGGCAGAGGCTGTTGTTGAGGGACTAGGAGACCACCAGGCTGTTGACACACCCTGCACCCAACCCACAAAGGTGGGGACAGCATCACGGCCAACCCCAGGGGATGGACCCAGGGCGCCCCAGGTGCACGCAAAGCGGAGCTTTTCTCTTTTTCAGCTTACAGGAAATAGCAGTGAGCTATGCTCAGTGAAGGCCGAAGACAAGCTTCCCGAGGCAACAGAGTCACCTGGACCCCATGAGCTGTGCTGTCCCTCAGTGCTTACGTGTCAGCAGTCACAGTATGAAGACACCCAAGAGTCTCCAAATCCCCAGCAATGAACACGGTAATTAGCAGAAAGTTGAAAAGTGCTTTCGCATGAGAGAATTTGAAAGGAATAGAAAGGTCAACCGTGAAGACACAGACTGACTCATTGTGACCCAGCCGGCTTTTGTGAGCCCTTGCTCTCTTGTGTAGCTTACAAAGAGTGAAAAGCTCCACATCAGGTGACAGGCACCACGTGACCACATGCCACCAGGCTAACTCACCTCCCATGCTGCACATGTTCACCAGCCTCCCCTTGGATCTCCTGAGGAGAGGCAGGAACACCTTGGTGACCTCCACGGCTCCAAAGAAGTTCACGGCCATGCACTTTCTGTACTGGGCCATGGGGATGATCTCCGCGTCTATTGGATACTGGAAGATCCCAGCGTTGTTGACCACAGCCCACAGCCCTGGGAACAAAAGCAAACAGCTGTGAGGACAGGAGAGGCTGGAGCACGTGGGGAGTTCCACACAACAAGATCTGGAACCACCAAACCCCTTTGAAATGGAGGCTCCAGTCAGAAGACGCACTTCCTAACCTCGGTCTCTTCCCATATTCCCAAACCTCCCCGTGATGGGGCACTGTGAGGGGGGAAATGTGTATACTATTAAACAATGCTTTTGGAGATCCTCTCCTCTTAGCTTGCCAGGATGCAGATGTAGAGGTCAGAAGACAACTTGTAGGGGTTGGTTCTCACCCATCACCACATGGATCATAAGGACTGAACTCAGATCCTTAGGCTGGGCTGCAGGCACCTTTACTCACCAGGATGTCCTGCCAGCCCTGTTCCTCTTTTGCCTGGTAGCCCTTTCCTACATCCAGGAAGTTGGATATTCACCATTTAAGGAAACAGCTGGCACAACAAGAGGTAAATTCCCAGGATTAAAGTATGCCTGGTCTTAAAGCAATGGTTCTCAACCTGTGGGTCGCGCCCCCCCATGGGCATTTTCTTTTAGATACTCTGCATATCAACTATTTACATTATTCATAACAGGATTTGCAACAGAGTCATAACAGTAGCAAAGTTACAGTTATAAAGTAGCAACGAAATACTTTTATGGCTGGGGTTGCCACAGCATGAGGAACTGTTATCAAAGAGTCACAGAATCAGGAACGTTAAGAACCCCTGGCCTAAAGTTTCAAAGTCTGCTTCCTCCTCCCAGGAGTATGGAAAGACTCCGTTAACACACTGCAGAATGAGACACTTGGCAGTCCTCCCCCTCTTTAAACTAAAAACCTAGGAACAAGAAGGAAAGTACCAGCAGTAGGGGTGACTGCAATGTCCCTAACGTCATGTGCCCTACTTCCTGGTCCAGATAATGTGTGTCTTCTTGAGGAGCACAGCTGGTTCAGACATACTCCTGGTCCAACCACCAGAAATCTGAGTATGAGGTAAAGTCTGAGCATCTCTTTCTGCTCAGTCCCACGGGATGCTGATGCTAGAGTTCTGGACCATCCTCCGAAAACCTCTGCCTCCAGTAGTGCTGTTGAACCTTCCTGGTATGTTAGGATACTGTCTCTTCAGACAACCCCAAGGCTCAAGCTACGCTCCCTCACACCCAGCCTATTAGATCAACCTGTGGAAAGAGAGTGGGGATGAGTGGCATTTAAAACTTGCGGAGGTTCTCGGGAACCACCCCTTGAGAGAGGGGGAAAGAATGATTACAATAACTGTAAGCCAGGCAAGGCAGGAGATAGTTTAGTTGGGAGTTTTCCATTAGTTTTGGGTTGCTCAGGCCTCCCCTCTTGTAACAGTGCACTGGAGGCTGCATTTCTTCATCTGCACCTATCACACACACACACACGCACATGCACACACACACGCACACACACATGCACACACTCACGCCTGCAAACTATGCATCTAGTAACTACAGAAGCCCTCTTGCCTGCATCGTGCGACACACATTCCCATCTCCCAACAGCAGTACCAGTTCCCCCACTGAATATGGTAACAATCATATTCAGATGGTTTCTATTCAAGCATATTCCCCACATATCCAGGTACAGAGACCAGAAGGGCTGATTCAGCCCGAACTGGTCCTGGGTATGTGTGTAGTGAGGCGAAACTGTACCCTTTAGTATCCTTTTAGGAAGATTCCCCCTATTTACCGTCTTATGCCTATTCACAACTGGGTGCGTTCATGACTAAAATCAGATGCATTATGGGAAAGGACATGCACAGTGCTGAAATGGTTAGGTAACCTAACCTGTCAATCAAAACAGAAAAGTACCCAAACCACACTGTTTAGTAACCAGCCCTTCCTTCCCTTAAGCCTCCAAAATGGAGATGCCAATGTGAGTACTGTCACCCATATGGCCCACTATCAATCTTGACAGTGTGTTCCTCTGTAACCTGCACTGTCACTTGGCTCCCAATAGAATTACTTTGATTCTCTGAAAATCTGTTTGAGCTTTGGTTTTCAATTCTTCATATAAGAGGCCAAGAGCCTTAAAACCCCCAGTTCACACTAACACCCAGTTATAATCCCACAGGGATTTCTATCTGTTTTGAAGAGAGAGGTTCTGCCGCACAAGTGGGAGACGTGAGAGGAACAGGGTTGACAGGATCCAGGGGTGCTGAGCTAGACAGACTTGAGCAGATCCTCTAGGTTCCTAGAGCCCCAGCAAGGTGCACGGCAGTAGATCTCCAAGTGTGGTCCACCACCCACCCCCAGCAGTAGCAGTGGCATCAAGAACTTGTTAGAGATGTACGTTTGAGGCTAGGGATGTGGCCCGATGGGTAGAGTGCTCATGTAGCGTGCACAAAGCCCAGTGGTCAAGCCTCAGCACCACACGAACCAGATATGGAGGCCCACATGGATAACTCCAGTACTTGGGAGGTGGAGGTAAGAAGATAAGGAATTCAGCTCCATCCTTAGCAATACATAGAGTTTGGGACCAGTCTGGGATATATAAGACCCTATCACAAAAAGAAAAAATTCATTTATGTATTTGTGTGTCTCTGTGTGTGTGTGTTGTGTACTCTGTGCATGATACAGAGGCCGGGAGTGGGTGTCAGACTCCCGGGAGTTTGGAATTACATGTGGCTTTGAGCCAGGGTGTGGTGCTGGAAACTGAACCCAGGTTGTCTGAAAGAGCAGAAGGCCTCTACACCACTAAACCATTTCTGCAGACCCAGACTTTAATTTTTTTTTTTTTTTTTGGTTTATTGAGGCAGGGTTTCTCTGTAGCTTTGGCTTTGGAGTTTGTCATGGAACTACCTCTTGTAGACCAGGCTGGTCTCAAACTCACAGAGATCTGCCTGCCTCTGCCTCCCAAATGCTGGAATTAAAGTCATGTGCCACCACCACCCGGCTCCAGACTTTAATTTTTAATGGGGCTTGCAGTTTCAACAGAAATCATCTTTATATTGGGCTGAAAGGTTGAAACTGTCAATCAGAAAGTCGCAAGGCACTGCATCTGCTATGGTATACCATCCACAATCCTGAGGCATAGTCGAAGTCAGCACTGTGGTATGGACGGTGCAGCCCCATCAGCTTCTGTCTGGTGGCAGAGGCAAAGGGGAAGCTGCCAAGCTATACATGAGGACCTAATCCAGCCCTGTGCACTTTAGCAAGGACTGACATGAAACAGTGACCACCAAGACCATCAGATGCTCCGTCCCCAGCAATTTCAATACTGCCCTGAGAGAAATGAGAGCAGGCTCAAAATCCCAGAATCTCTTTATCTCATCGCTGAAAGATGGTTCTAAGCCCAAACCAAGTTGTATCCCAGAAAGTAAAACTACATTTCTTGTGAGCCAGAGTTAGGAAGGGATGGCATGGGTGAGCGGTCCCCTTGCGAGTAGGGAGCAGAGAGACTTTGCTGGCAGAGACAATAGTCATAGGAAGAGGAAGCAGAGGTGGAAAAACCAAGGAGGTAGAAGCTGGACTGCTGCAGTGGAGAACGCCACTCTGTTCTAGAACACCCCAGAGGGTACCAAGTGGACCGTCCCGCAAAGAAATGGTTCTAAAGGCCGTTATCCCATGAGGCTTCAATCTGTGTTAAGGTGTTTGGATTCTGCGTGGGCAGAAGGGGAAGCACAGGGCCAGACAATGAGCTGCGTGCAAAGCAGATCACAATCCGAGTTCCTTGCCCCAGAGAGTCCACATTCCAGAGGCTCTAGAGAACAGGTGGCACTGGAAAAGATGTGTGTGCATTATGAAAATTATGCTCCGTCGGAGACCACTGGGGTACCCAGCAAGGAGGCCATGTAGGTACCTGGACAAGCCAGCAGGGAGGCCACTGGGGTGCCCAGACAGGCAGCAGGAGGGTAACTGGAGTACCTAGAGAGGGGTCACTAGGGTACCCACATAGGAAGTAGGGAAGCCATTGGGGTACCCACAGAGAAGGCAGAAAAGTCATTGGGGTACCCACAAGGAAGTAGGGAGACCATTGGGCTACCCACATAGGAGGCAGCAAAGTCATTGGGGTACCCACACAGGAATTAGGGACACCACTGAGCTACCCACACAGGAGACAGCAAAGTCATTTGGGTACCCGCAGAGAAAGTAGGGAGGCCATTGGGGTACCCACACAGGAAACAGCAAAACCATTGGGGTACCCACACAGAAAGTAGGGAGGCCATTGGGGTACCTACACAGGAAGTAGGGAGGCTGTTGGGGTACCCACACAGGACCTGGTGAAGGCCTACAATGAACCACTACTTTTTGGAGGTGTTGAGAAGAGGCTGGGTAACAAATATCTAGGGGGCAGAACTGGCAGAACTCCAGGTCAATAGGGCAGAGAGATCAGTGGTGTCAGAGTTAGAGGTGTCAGTGACTGCCCACCAGGCCACTGACTCCAATGACTGATTGGGTATGCAGACAAGCAAGTCGATTTTCAAGCTGGCATCAGGGAAAAGATAACAAGGTCAACTCTGAAGACAGTGAGGTTGTGGAAATGCTTGGGAGATCATTCGGTGTGTGCTTGGGGCTAGATGTGAGGAGGCACAGCCAGGTGGGCTGCGTAGCTTTGGAAGGTATTAGTGTAAATTAGTTTTCCAACCCTGACCAAACATTAACATCACCTAGGGAGCTTTCGAAAGTAAAAACTGCTGAGGGGGCTGGGAGATGGCGTATTGGGTAAGATGCACAGCGCAGAAGCAAATCGACTTCCAGCCCCCACACAAAGCTGTGTGTAACACCAGCACCAGGGAGTTGGGTGGGGAGACAGGTGGATCCCAGGGACTTGCCAAAATAGCAAACTCCATGTCAAAAACACAAGATGGAGAGAAAACACCTGACATGGACCTCTAGCGTGTGCATGCTCACACAAACATGCACAAATTCTCTCTCTCCCTCCCTTTCTTCTTCCCTTCCTCACCCCCCTCTCCCTCATTGTTGGTGTCTGAGTCTCTCCTTGAGCAAGCTGCAGCAATTGAACTTTGGGCTGGAGGTACTCAGACACCCCTGAGCCATGGGACTGGGAGTTCAGAAGGGACTCAAATATGTTTAATGCCCCGACGCCATCATCGTATATTTCTGAATCAGTTCATCAGTGAGGGGGCTCTCACGTTCACCTTGCACTGGGTTCCACGGGGTATGTACCCCACTCTGGGGACAAACACGGGTATTTTTTAGCCCCCCCCCCCCTCCAATGTACAGAGGACAGAGAGCCCTGGGCATAAGAATGGAGTGGGGAGTGGAAAGCCACAGGTGGATCCAAATAGGAAGATTCATATTTAATAGAGGGATGGAGGAGGAGATACATCCAGAAAGCAGAGAAAACAACCAGCAAACATCAGGAGAGCAAAGGGAAGGCTGAGAAACCCAAATCTGAGCAGAGAATGTCCTCTTAGAACAGTACAGAGAAGATAAGGTCTTTGGTCTTCAAGAAGATAGTGGTAGCTCTGGCCAGAGCAGGTAAGGAGGTGTAGTGAGAACCACCACTCATGTGACCAGGCATGAAGCCATGAAACCAAACGGAGACTTGGCAGCAAATGAAAGAGAGAAAAGGCAGAGCCTCCAGGAGGCACATGGTCCTGTGGCTGTTTGTCAAGCTGGGGAAGACCAATGCACGCTGATTTTGCTGGAAGAAGGCAAAGAGCCGGGGGTAGGAGAGCAACCAGAGGGACCAAGAAGACACGGGAGGGAGATGATATTGTACGCTGAAGGAGGGAGTGGGGCATAGCTCAGTTGGTAAAGTGCTTGCTTAGCAAGCAAAGAGGGCAGAAGTTCAATGCCTCCAAATTCACATCTTAAAAAAACCTGTCACAGTGACAGACACTTGTAATCCCAGCAGTGGGGAGGCAGAGACAGGTGGATCGTTCGGGTCCACCGGTGAGCCAGCCAACTTTGCCTAACTGATAAGCTCCAGACTACTGAGAAACTCTGTCTCAAAAGACAAGATGGGTGGTACATCCGAAACAATAGCCAAGGTTGTCTTGCCATGCACACAGGCATGCACGCACACGTACACACTCCCACACATGAATTCTGCACATTCTATGAAGAGAGAATCTGTATCAGAGTCACTCCTGACATCTTTGTGTCTAACAGGCTCTGGGACATGGCACAGGTCCAGTATACAGGTCCTGGTGCAATCAGCAGCCACGGTCATCAGGGGCAGTGACAAGAGATGGGCATTGGTGAGTGGGGTGAGGAGGAATCGAGGAAGTCAGTACCTTTGTCTTTGGTCTTTTCTGTGACTTTGCTGTGAGCATCTTTTATCTCCTCAAGCTTGGTGACATCCATCTGGAGCACCAAGAGGCGCTCAGAGCAGGTTTTCCTCAATTCCTCCGCTCCCGAGCCTTTCGCGTCCAGCACTCCGGCAAACACTCTGAAACCCAGCTTGTCCAGGTGCTTGGCCAAGGCATGTCCAAAACCAGAATCAGCACCTGCAAGAGTCAAGACAACACAAGCTGAGCACAAGCAATGCAATATGAGAATATCACGAATTGGAGTTCATTCACGAATTGAACATTACATCCCATGATGTTTGTGATGGTCTCTGATCCCTGGAAAGAGAGAGCTGGGGAAATTTCTTTGGTGGCTAAGTTAAAAAACAGTTGGGGAAGTCAAGACAGACAACTTACTCTATGTAAAGAAAGGGGTGCTGGCAAGCTTTCAGTGAGCATGCGTGGCAAGGGAAGGTTGGAGTCCAGGGATTACTGACAAAAAAAGAATGTAACACAGGACAAAGAATACCAGCATGTGATAAGTCTGTGTGTATGTGTGTGTGTGTGTGTGTCTGTCTGTCTGTCTGTCTGTCTGTCTGTCTCTGTGTGTATTTGTCTTCTCTGTCTCCCTCTCTCTGTCTCTCTCTCTCTGTCTCTCTCTCTGTCTCCCTCTCTCATTGTTTCAGACAAAGTCTCAACATGTAGCCCAAGCTGGCCTTGAATTCCTTCTGGAGCCCAGACTGGCCTTCAGCTCATGGCAATCCTCCTGCCTCAGCCCCCCAAATGCTGAGGTTAAGAGAATGAACCACCACACCTGTCTTGTACAGTTTTCCATCTTTGTGTGATTTCTTTATCTAACGGCTTTGCGGGTTTGCATGGAGATCAGCTGGTTTGAGAGCAGGGAAGGATGCGAAGAGAAAGGGCAGCGTGTCCAGTGTCTGCGAACACTGCCGAGAGACAACAGGAAACGCACAGGAAGCTGAGCACATTCTCTCCGGTTCTCATGTCTAGGTGTAAAACGTCACTCCTCTCAGGATTTCACGCGAGAGTTCATACACTCAGTTTCGGAGAATGTTAATGGACTCTCAGAAAAATGGCCTTGTACCCACAAGTGTGAGACAAAAATATCTAGAATTGGGGCTGGAGAGATGGCTCAGAGTTTAAGAGCACTGGCTGCTCTTCAGGAGGTTCTGAGTTCAATTCCCAGCAACCACATGGTGGCTCACAACCATCTGTAATGAAATCTGGTGCCCTCTTCTGGCCTGCAGTCATACATGGAGTCTGAACACTGTGTACATAATAAATAAATCTTTTAAAAAAAAATATCTAGAATTTTAAAGTTGAAGACCACACGATCATAACATCAGCCTCGGGGCCACAGTCACGGGACACGTCAAGCAGTTGACATGTTTATCCACTGAGGACGTAAGACTCATTTGCCTCTAGCTGTGTCTAGCTGCAAGCCTTGAGGGTGCCTCTGGGCAGTGGCTAAGGGCTCTCTGGCCAGGCAACCACTCAGACAGATTTCACACTTGTGCCCCACAAAGGAGGATAAGAATTACCCTGAGAATAATTACGTTAGATGCTGGCCGCAGGGAAAGCCAAGTGTTTGATGGGGTGGCAGGGGAGTGTGGGGGGGAGTACATCATCTCATTTTATGCTGTTGCTGCCATTAGCACAGCGGGATATTTGGGGCTTCAGAACTTAAGGGCCTTGATTTCTCTCAAAGGCTTGCATTGATATTGGGCCACCAGCATGCCCCCCCTTCTGAAACCTTACCATTCCGCTCTCAGAGTTTCAGGCATGGGTTGGTTGTGAGTGGTACCAGCCCTCACCAAACCAAAGGTGCCTGGTGCTTCCTGGACTGCAGAGACAAGTGAAAAAGATATATTTTGATCCTTTTTTAATCTTTAATTTACTTTTTTAGACAGATTCAGTCTCACACTGTAGCTCAGGTGAGTCAGAATGACTGGTCTCAAATTCTTGACAATCCTCCTGCCTCAGCCCCCTAAGTGCTGAGATCACAAGTATGATGGACAGTTTCACTCCCAGATATAGACCCAAGAAAAATGAACGCATAGAGTATACATGGACGTCCATGGCTGCATTGTTCACAGTGGCCAAGAAAAGGAAATGGACCAAATGCCCACCACCTAAGGAATGGGTAAACAGAGGTAACAAAGGGATATTGTTGATCAGTAAAAAATGGAATGTAGTAATGATACAAACTCACAACATGGCTGAACCTTGACCACAGTTGCTGGGTGACAGGAGCCAGGTAAAGGAGTGTGAGGTGCTGGCTTTGACCACACTTTCTCAGGGTAGAGAATGTTCTTGAAGGCATCTTCATAGGCAGGACTTTGAAACATAGACTTAGGATCTACCTAGTCCAGAAAAGGTCCCAGGGAGAGCCTGGCACTGAGTAGGAGTGAGTTACAAAATGAGAAGAGGCCACGATGAACTCTGCTTGAGGGCTGTGACTCTGGAAACTAGCCAGGGTGAAGAAATCCCCCTGCCTCGTTCTGTTCTGGGAATCAGCTTGCTACGGTGATCCCCCCTTCTAGCCAGCATAGTAGCACGGACCTGTTATTCTTGTTCCTTGGAAGGCTGAGACAGAAGGATTGCAAATTCAAGGCCTGCCTGGGTAACTCAGTGAGACCCTACCTCAAAATAAAACATTGAAAAGCAGGCTGGGGGGACGGCTCACTAAAGAGTGCCTGTCTAGAAGGTGGAGGCTAGGAAGAGTGAATCTCAACTCGGAAATGGCCTCCGCCAGACTGGCCCATGGGCGTATCTGTGGAAGGGTCCAAACCACCACATAGGGAGTGTCACTCTTGTGCCGCTGATCCTGGGTTGGATAGGAAAACTGGCTGCAGGCAAGCGGGGGAGTGAGTCAACAATCAGCACCCTCCATGGCCCCTGCGTCAGCTCCCTCCTCCAGGCTTGTGCCTTGGGTTCTTGCCCTGACTTCCCTTCGTGGTGGCTGTGACCTGGAAGGATAAGCCAATTAAACCCTTTCCTCTCCATGTTGCTTTTGTCCGTGTTTCATCCAGGCGACAAAAAGCAAGCAATGACACCCCAGTAGCCCCCTCCAAACATAAGGAACCCCCTTCCTCATCAGAATCACAGGAGACTCATAAATACTTCCTTTGCTGGACTAGGATAAAATCAGACCAGACTGTCCAGACCCCTTTTTCTGCTCCAGGATTGATTAGCCGACCTGCTTGTACCACCGATACTCTGTGGTAAAAATGTACCCAATTTTGGTAAAGGTTCTGCCCTTTCCCTGGGTCCTGGTGCACCCTCTTTCTGTGCCACCAGCCCCTTCTCAGGCTGGGCTAACCCCTGGGGTCCCATCAGCCTGATCCAGATGTTCCTGGTCTTACCACACCCAAATACCCAGGTTTTTCTGGCCTTCTTGGTTTCCCCCTAGAGTAGCAGAATCCTCATGGCTTATCCTTGAGACACACACAGGCCATTAGAACAGAGCGCAGTCCCTTCTCCTGTTGCCCTGGACTAATCTGGGAATCCCTGCAATGATCCTGCAGAACGGTCTCCCCCAGTTAAAAAGGTTCCTTTGGATTGATTATTGACTGAATTTTTTTTGTTTTATTATTTCCGTGTATGTGTGTTTGCATACGTGTGTGGTCATGTGTGCCATGGCAGGCATGTGAAGGTCATGGGACCACTTTATAGAGTCAGTTCTCCCTTCTCCCTTTACATGGGTTGTTGGGATTAAACTCAGGTTACCAGGCTTGCATGGCAAGCCATCCTGCTAGCCCAATTGGCCAGGAAATTATCAAGCCACAGTATGTAAGAGAGACCATCCACTATGTGCAATTGTGACGGAGTGTAACATTGAGAGTAGGTACTAACCTGCCCTTCCCTCCTGCCTGTGTGCATTTGTGTGTGTATGGGGTGGGGGTGGCTTCTCCATGGAAACTTCCAGATCCACAGAATGGGCTTAAGAAAGGGTTGAATAGGCTAATGTCTATGAAGTGTTTGCACAGTGCTGAGTCTAGGCAATAGCTCTGGAAGTCTGTTTTAAAAACCAGTTGGACATGGTAGCATAAACTATGACCTGAGCTGAGGCAGGAGGATTGCTATGAGTTCCAAGCCACATAATGAGTCCCAGACTGGCTTGAGCTTCAAAGAAAGACACTGTTTCAAAAACAAAATCCAGCCGGCGGTGGTGGCGCACGCCTTTAATCCCAGCACTTGGGAGGCAGAGGCAGGCGGATCTTTGTGAGTTCGAGACCAGCCTGGTCTACAAGAGCTAGTTCCAGGACAGGCTCCAAAACCACAGAGAAACCCTGTCTCGAAAAACCAAAAAAAAAAAATCCAACTATTATGAAGAACTATAGACAGCTAAGGGATGCTCAGAGCAGGAGAAACATCCTTTCCTGGAGAAGAGCATAGGAAGTGGTGATCTAGTACCAAAGCTTAGCCCTGAGAACAGATACACACACACGACATTCACAGACTGCGAAGGTTGCATGTATGTATTTAAGAATATACATACATACATATGTTTAATGGCAAAAAAAAAGCAAAATAGGCCATAAACTTGAAAGAGAACACAGGGGAACGTGAAAGGGGTTGGAGGGAGGAAAAGGAAGGGGGAAATGTTGTAATTATATTAAAATCTCAGAAAAGTAGGAAAGATTTTAAAACACAAATGTTATGAACCAGCTGAAGAACAAATAAATATGCAAAAGGCATTTTTAATCCAAAAATGAAATTAAAGTGACACCATGCTCTCTTTTGGATTTTCAAGTCTTTGCAGGGAGTGTTAGCCAGTGGAAACGTCATCACTAGTGCCAAGCCGCTGAGCATCGTGGGTAAGAATCACTGCCTGACTCTGTCCTCTGCAATGCCCCTCAGAGAAAGCGCCCTGAACCATTTGGAGCCTCCACCTCCTCATGGGAAAAGTAAGGTTCTAGTCAGTCCATTTCCTAGGCTGACCTGATCAGTCAAAACCGAGGGCTGCTCAGAAAACCTAACATGTCACAGTGGTAGAGATCTGGCTGTCTCTGCTGGCCCTCACAGTGAAGGAGACCTGGCTGCCTCTGCTGGCCCTCACAGTGGAGGAGACCTGGCTGCCTCTGCTGGCCCTCACAGTGGAGGAGACCTGGCTGCCTCTGCTGGCCCTCACAGTGGAGGAGACCTGGCTGCCTCTGCTGGCCCTCACAGTGGAGGAGACCTGTCTCTGCTGGCCC